GATGGATGGATGGATGGATAAACATTGGACGTCGGATTTGTCTATATAGGGTCCGTCGGTCCATAACCAATTCTGGACATCTATACAACGTCCAAAATAGGTCCACAATTTGAACGTTCATCCATGACCCAGCCTGTACGTCAATATGACATTCAACATTTGAACGTAATTTTTTTGGACGTCATGTGGACGACTATGACAGGTGCAGGAAATATAGTTTTATTTACAAATATCAACATTGCTGTTATCAACATTATAAATGTGAATACAGATTATGTATCAACAAACATGATTTATTATGTTGTAGCATATTGATTTATTCAGTACGGGGATTTTTTGTTCCTGTTTTTCTTTAACTGGTTTATTTATTTCAATTAATCAATTTATTTGTTTATGCATACATGTATTTATCCATATATCTGATTATTTATTAGGAAATGCAATTTGTAGGAATTAGAGTTCCGAAAATATATTCAGGACTGCAGATAAACTGCTGCGCAAGTACGCATTCACCTTTAAAAGCGATAATTCAATCAATTGCTGTGACAGTGCAAATGCGTACGTATTTTATGTGCATTTGGTCCGTCTATACAACAAATGAAGTACGAATTAGCATATACAGGTTAAAATGCACGATAATTTCTTGTCATATCAGCGCAAATGCACATAAAATACGTACGCATTTGCACTGTCACAGCAATCCATTGCCGCACGTATCGCTTTTAAAGGTGAATGCATACTTGCGCACCAGTTATCTGCAGCCCTGCCTATATCCACCCTTAAAAGTGACGCCATAACAGCCATTCCCGGTTGACGCTCAAGAGAGGCAATGATGGCCACAGCAGAAGGTCAAGGACCAACCAAAAGATTCAAACAGTCAACGCCACTCTGATTGGCTGAGGCAAAAAGCCAGACATTTTGGCGCGATACGGCATGTTCAAGGCAATGGAAACGGCTGCATGGCTTTTCAGCCTGCTTCACAAGTTCACTACCTAAATCCCTATATTGAGTCCACCCATCGTTTTCCTGTAAACTGAAGGTAAGTTTGGTCAGCCTAGTAAATTCTATGTCCGTTTGTACGTACAGTGTTAGCTAGTTTAGCGTTTTTGCCTTAAATTCCCAAAACTGCTGTGGTTACAGAAGTTAGCATGTATTAACGGCACAGATATTTTTGTTTTGCCTTAGCTTGCTGCTATGTACAACACTCTTGCTTCAGTTTCAATGGTATTTTGACTGTCCACGAGAGATCATGTCATTTAATGTAAATGTAAACTGTTTGTATCCTGCAAATTGTGAATTCGTATGACTATTAGGGTTGCCAACAGGATAGGTCGAAAGCTAGCTAGCAGCATGACAAGGAGTTCTAGCTCGTGGCTAACTAGCTAGAGTCCGTAGACGGGGTTCACGGAGGATTCGAGGTTGAATGATGTTACCCTCAGTGACTTATCATTCATTAAATGAACATAAGTTTTTGTCTTTTTCTGCTTGTGCAGAAGGAGTCATGAAATTTGATGAGGCCGCCACTGAAGAGTACATCAAGATGCATGTTTCAGAGCACCTCAAGCATGCACCTCAAAGACATGGAGGTGGAG